TGTAGCACTCACACCCTTAATCCTAGCCAGAACTATGCCAAAGCAATCTGTGGACTGATTTACTAATCATACACTCTTAACCCCAGCATCACACACTCTAGATTCAGCCACCTCTGAAAAAGCCCCATGACTGCATGAGGCTCTGAGAGGACATCTAGACACAAACTGAAACAGTATTCTATTGTATATTTAGCATATATAATATTTTCTTTATCCATTCATCTGTTGATGGACTTAGGTTGATTCCATATTTTTGCTCTTGTGAATAATACTGCAGTAAACACGGGAGTACAGCTATGTCTTTGGCATACTGACTTCATTATCTTTGGCTATATACTCAGAAGGAGGACTGCTACATAACTGGTAGTTCTAGCCTTAACTTTCTGAGGAAACTCTACTGTTTTCTATAATGGCTATATCAATTTACATTCCCACCCACTGGGTACAAGGATTCCCTTTTCTCCACATCCTTGTCAATACTTATCTTTTTTTTTTTTTTTGAGTCAGGGTCTTGCTATACAGTGCAGGCTGCCCTTGAACTCATTATGTAGCCCAGGCTGGCCTCGAACTCACAGCAGTCCCTCTGCCTCAGTCACCCAAGTGCTGGGATTACAGGCATTTGCCACCACACCCAGTTCTTATCTTTGTCCTTTTGCCTTTTTTTTTTTTTTTTTGTACTGGGAATCGAACTTAGGACCTTGCACTTGCCAGGCAGGTGCTTATACTGCTGAGCTGTATCCCCTGCCCTCTCTGTCCTTTTGATAACAGCTATTCTTGTAGGTATGAGGTGATGTATCATTGTGGTGTATTTGCATTTTCCTGATGATTAGTGCTGCTCAACATCTTTCACATGCTGGTGGCCACTGGTCTATCTTCTTTTGAGAAAAGAAGATAGTTTACTTAGGTCTTTTGCTCATTTTAAGATAATATTTGTTTTTTGCTATTGAACTAAGCTCTCCAGATATTTTGGATTTTTTTTTTTTTTTAGATAGGGTCTTGCTTCTGTAGTTCAGACTGGCTTTGAACTCACTATGTGGCTCAGCCTGGCCTCAAATTCATGGTAATGCTCCTGTCTCAGCCTCCCAAGTGCTGGGATTATAGGCATGTGCCCCAACGCCCAGCAGAAAATGAAATTTAAAGATACTATTTCATACCATTCTTCAATAAAAGGAAGTGGGCTCCTCTGAGGAATGGTTAATTTCAGAGCTGAGGAAGGAAAAATACACGGTAAGATTTTAACAAGAACTATGTACACCAGTGTATGCTTACACTAGTGAGAGGCTGAGGCAGGAGGATCCCAAGTTCAAGGCCAGTCTGGGCAACTCACCTTGACTCTGTCTCAAAAAAGGTGTGTAGGGGGGCAGGGAAAAGCATATGCCAGTGGTAGAGAACTTGCTCGGGATGCATGAGATCTTGGGTTTTATCCCCAGTACTGCAAAAAATGGTGGGAGGACTGGAACAAGATGTGGTATCATAAAATAAATGAAGTACTTACAAAAGAGTGAGGGTGGGGCTGCAGATATAGCTACTGTAGAGTGCTTGCTTAGCATGTGCAAGAACCTAATTTCAATCTGTAGTAGGAAAAAAAATAAGGCATGTTGAGTGAACCAAGGAGCCAACCCAAAGGAGTTCTCTTTGGTTAATGTTTGAAGAATTTCAGCAATGAAATAATTAAAGTACTGGCAGCAGTCCACAGACTAAAGTAAATATCCCTGAGCTCACCAATGAATGAATAAATAAATAAATGAACAGGAGGGGGTAGGAACAGCTCTTCTTAAAGAATTTCAATTAATAAATGGCAAAAGGAATAAGGGACACAAAAAAATTAAGCAAACACCACAGCCGGGCACGGTGGTGCACGCCTGTAATCCCAGCACTCAGGAGGCTGAGGCAGGAGTATCATTGTGAGTTCAAGGCCAGCCTGGGCTACAAAGTGAGCTCAAGGCCAGCCTGAACTGTATAGTGAGACCCTGTCTCAAAAAGACAAAAAGAACCCCCCAAAACCCCAAGAAAACCCCACAGTGAGAGCTGATATATGCCCATAATTCTAGCACACTGAGAAGCTGAGGCAAGAAGATGCCAGGTTCCAACTCAGTTTTGGCAACTTGGCAATTCAGCAAGACCCTATCTCAAAATAAAAAAAGTTAAAAAGGGCTGCAAATGTAGCTCAGTGCAAAGGCCCTGGGTTCAATCTTCACTACACAGACAGAGAGACAGACAAAAACCAAGACAGACAGACAGACAAATAATACAAGTTCAAAACGACTTGATGGGAAAGTGTTAGTAAAACATAAGGAAAACAGAAATAGCTGGAAATGAAAAAATGAGTAATAGAAAAATATATAACAAAGAATGATGCAAGAAAGAACGAACATATTGATTTTAACAAGTGAGAATGCACGGAATTCCCTTTCTCTAAGTCTAAGAATCTCAGACTGATTCAAAAAGGAAACCAACAGAATCCTGGCTACAGGGTACATACATTAAACAAAGCGGTAATAATTCTAGCAGAGCTACTAAGTAGCAGTTAGGTAGTGGAACTCTGGAGTCTGCAATCTCGACCCTATACAACCACACCTCTCAAAAGTTAAGAGATTATATGAATAAATGAACTCCTCAATTAGAATAAGAAGTAGGTTTTTTTCTCCTTTTTTTCCTTCATTTTCTTCTTCTCTTCCTTTCCCTCTCATCCCTTCTCTCTTTTCTTTCTCTCCCTTCCCTTCACTTCCTCTTTTCTCTTCTCCTTTCTGTTTCCTCTTCTTTCTCTCTCTTTTTTTTTTTTTTTTTGGTTTTATCTGGTACCAGGGATCGAACTCACAACCTTGCGCTTGCCGGGCAGGCGCTGTGCTGCTGAGCTAAATCCCCTTACCCCTCTCTCTTCTTTCCTTTCCCTTTCTCCTTCATTCTTCTTCCCTTCCTTCCCTTTCCCTCTGTCTACATCCTTCTCTCTTTTCTTTCTTGCTTGCTGTACTGGGGATGGAACCCAGGGCCTTCACACTGAATTCCCCCTAGCCATCTTTTTAATTTTTTTTATTTTGAAACAGGGTCTCATGAAGTCTCTAAATTGTCAGGCTGAGCTCAAACATGTGATTCTTCTGCCTCAGCCTCCGAGTGCTGAGATTATAGGTATATGTGCCACTGTGCCCAGCAGTTTTAAGACAACAGTTTTTTCTAAGGCATGAAGATACTTGTAGGAAAAAAGGATTTAGAGTATATGTAAAGAGGCAGCCTCTGGGGAAGAAAAGGGCACATCCCTTTTGGAAATAGGAGGGAGTTGTGAGAGAGAAAGAACAGAGAGGAAGTAAACAGAGGGGGAAAGGTTCCCTTGGGAGCTGATGCTGTGCTCTTTACAGCTATGCTCCTCACAGCAGGACGGCAAGGGGACCTGCCTGACAAAACCTCAGGCTATGGCTGTTACCCGGGGGTCCTCCCCGACGGGACCGGCCTTTGCTCACCTTGATACCACGGTCCTGCCACGTCACCCGTAACCATCCATGGGTCTTTTCCTTGCTCCAATAAGGAGATGACATCAGGCTTCGAAATGGAAAGTCCTGTTTAAAGGAAAAAAAAAAAAATGGGACATGATCATACTTTCCAAAGTTCAAACCCAGCCCCTTGGTCATCAAGGAACTAGTAATGATAAAGAGGAAGGAGTGAATCTGGGCAAAAGATAAGGAGGAAGAGGGAGGGGACCAATCAAGCTACTCATTCCTGACTCTACTAAGGACAGTTCTCTTGGCACAGAGGACAGACATTCATTCACAAACCTATAAGCTGCCTTAGAAATTTGTAACGAGAAACCAGAGATTCCAGAAGCCTAGTCCTAAATTATATGGAGCAGCTAACTATGGGGATTACACTCCTTTAATCCTCTCCTTCCCTTCCAATCCCTTCCTCAGATCGCCCTGCTCTGTGCGGGCCTTTCGGCCCCAGACAGCCTGCCAGGAGGGACTGTGTCACCCTCCCCACGGCTTGCCACTGCCTCGCAGAAGGAAGCGTGAGCATGTGAGCAGGAGGAGGAGCGGGAATGTGAGGCTTGTCTTACTCGGTCCCTCCCTCCTTAGACCCCGGATGCGTTCCGGAGGGAGGGAGAGTTGATGCTGGCTTAGCATCTTTGGAGACACCCCTTCCTCTCTTCACACCTTCAGGCCAGAGGTAGAAAGAGCCGACTGCCAGCACTGTAGTCCATCTGTTCCCAAGTGGTCGTTAGCCTTACCTAGTGTGACCAGGTGACTGAAGTTCTCCAGAGTCACATCTCTGTACAAGTCCCTCTGGGAAGGTTCCAGGCACTTCCATTCTTCCTGAGAGAACTCTATGGCCACATCCCTGAATGTCACCAACCCCTGAAACAACAGGCCCATGCATTAATAATGAAGGAAAGGCTTTTTCTTTTTTTAACTTTTTTCTCTTTTTTTGTGAATCCACAAATGCTAGGCAAGTGGGCAAATTTTCTATTGGGCTACATCCCCAGTCACCCCACCCCCTTGACACAGTCCCACACTAAATTGCCCAGGTAAGCCTGTAACTTGCGATTCTTCTACCTCAGTCTTTTTTTTTTTTTTATACCAAGGAGTTGAACTCAGGACTTTGCACTTGCCGGGCAGGTGCTTGTGCTGCTGAGCTATCTGCCCGGCCCCTCAGTCTCCTGAGTAACTGAGATTATAGGCATGCACCATCACCCCTGGCTGTTTTCACTTTTTACTATGAAATATCTCAAAATACACAAAAGCACAGAGAATAAGTATAACGATGCCTATGAATCTAGTACTCTCCCTCAACAATTAGTAAGATTTTGCATATTTTGTTATTTCTATTTCTTTCCATCTTTTATCGCTTGTGTGTTTTAAAGCAAATCCCACATATCCAATATCACTAATACTTTACCCAGAAATACTTTAGTATCAAACAGGCACAGATTTTTTTTTTCCAAAGGCACCACAGAGCACGCTTAGCACGGGTAAAGCTTTGAGTTTGATCAATGAAGATTGAACATTTAAGATTTTTTTTTGTCTTTTTGAGACAGGGTCTCACTATGAAGTTCAGCCTGACCTTCAACTCACTTTGTAGCCCAGGCTGGCCTTGAACTCACAGCAATCTTTCTGCCTCTGGAGTGCTGGGATTACAGATGTGCGCCACCACACCCAGCCAAGACTTTTAAACATTTATCATTTTTTTTTTTTTTTTGGTCAGGACCTTTGAATTCCTCTCATCTAATTTTTTGTTTACAAAATATACATTTTTGTAAACTATAGATACTCTGTGGTGCTACAGAATACTAGCATTTGTTCCTCCTGTCTAGCTGCATTTTGGTACCCCTTACCTAATCTCCTCTTGTCCTCCCTCCCTTCCTTCTCCCTAGCCTCTGTGACCACTATTCTACTCTCTACTTCTATGAAAGCAACTTTTTTAGCTTTCACCTGAGTAAAAACAGTGGCATTTGTCTTTCTGTGCCTGGTTTATTTCATTTAACATAATGTTCTCCAGTTCCACCCTTTTTTTTTTTTTTTTTTCTTTTTGAGACAGGGTTTTGATATGCAGTTCAGGCTGGCTTTGAACTCACTATGTAGCTCAGGCTAGCCTCGAACTCGTGGCAACCCTCTTGCCTCAGCAGCCCAAGTGCTGGGATTATAGGTCTGTGCCTGGCAGTTCCATCCATTTGCCATAGTCAAACGAGATTTTTTAAAAAACAGTTGCCCTGTTCAGATCAGATTTATGCACTGTGCATGACAGGTCTCCCAAAGTCTTTCAAATCTCTTAACAATTCTTAAAAAAACTTTTTAAAAATGATCACCGTGTATTCATTAAAGAAATATTTGATTAAGCAGAATTTCCTACATTTTGGATTTGGCTGAGTGCATCTTCACAATATAATATGTTGCCTTCCATAGTTTTTATGAAATAGTAGTTAGACTTAGAATCCTGATTTCCATTTTGAGGGAGTGGGCAGAATATGTCAGAGACGGCCTATATATGTAATGTCCTACAGCATCCCACGAGGATGGGTTGCACCTTTTTCTTTTTCAGATGGGGGTCTTGCTAAGCTGCCCAGGCGGGTCTCAAACTCGTGATCCTCCCATCTCGGCCTCCCCAATAGCTGAGATTACAGGTGTGTACCACTATGCTTGGCCGTTGGTTGTCCCACTTTTAATGGGTTTAAAATTGATGAATAGGGCTGGGGATATAGGTTGGCGGCACAAGTGCCTACCTGGCAAGTGCAAGGTCCTGAGATCGATTCCTGGTACCAAAACAAACAAACAAAAAAATAAAATGGATGAATAGGTTCAGACTTTAAAAACCTGATGCACCCAGGAAAATGTCTTTAAAATGAGGAAATGAAGAAGAGCATTGTGGGGAGGAGGTGATAATATAAGCAAGCAAGCTACAGCTGCACACTTAAGCTTAGAAGGATGTACAATATGTACATTTATGTCACTAGAAGCCTATATACTCTTTGTTTATTTGTCTTGAGACAGAGTCTCACTATGTAGCAGAGGCTGGCCTCCAACTCCTGGCAATCCTCCTGCCTCAGCCTCCCGAGAAAGAGTTTCTTAGATATCATGAGCATAATTTTTGTTATGGCAAATTTTATATATTTGTTTATTTTCTGGTAGTACTGGGAACTAAACCCAGTGCATTCACACTAAGCTACATCCCCTGTCATTTTTTGTTTTGTTTTGTTTTTTGTTTTTTTGAGGCAAGATCTCTCTGTGTAGTGTAGACTCGCCTTGAACTTGCTTATGTAGCCTAGCTGGCCTCAAACTCATGGCAACCCCCCTGTCTCAGCTCCTAAATGGTGGGATTATAGGCATGCACCACCACACCCGGCCCCAGCCACTAAAAAAAAAAAAAAAGAAAATTAAATTTTGAGAGAGTCTTGTCAAATTGCCCAGGCTGAGCTCAAACTTTTGATTTTCCTGCCTTAGCTTCCCAAAATACAGGGATTACAGGCATGTGTCACTGTGCCTAGCTGTTATGGCAAGTTCTTTGTTTTAGAGATGGAGTTTTGCTATGTTGCCCAGGCTGGCTTTGAACTCCTGGGCTCAAGCAATCCTCCTGCCTCAGGTTCCCAAGTTGGTGGTAGAAGAGGTGTGTGCCACTGTACCCAGGTTATTATGAAAAATTTTATAATAAACAGAGATTTTTATGGGCTAAATAATATTACACGCTATGTCTTATAAGATATAATTATTTGACTACTTTGGTGCATTTATCTTAAAACAAGATGTATAAAAGTTAGGCTTGTTAGTGAGTGCCTGGAAATCCTAGCACTCTGGGAGGTAGAGGCAAGATGACTGCAATTTTGAGCCCAGCCTAGGCAACTGAGCAACTTAGTGAGACCCTGTCTCAAAAAAATCAAAAGAGACTGGAGATAGAGTTCAATATAAAGGTCCTGTGTCCAATCCTCAGTACCATAAAACAAAAGATGTATAAAACCTTCACAGTTTATCGTACTTGTTAATATCTATATCCCTTCAGTGTCTGTTTTACCTTGTTCCTGAAATAAGAAAGCTAATGTAGGTTGTACCTGAATCACAGGAATGTGGCCCACCACAAACACATACTGCTCAACCCCAAATGGACCATTTCATTGTTCTTCATCTCTTATAAATTGCCTTGAAAGACTGAAGTACTTTCTATAAATAAAGTTCCCAATCACAGCCCTCACCCACAAGGCCTTCTAAAACAGGAGATATTACCATGTACTAAGACCAAGACAAACTACAGATCCTGACAATTGGAAAGTTTCAAATTTGGAACATTGCGGATTTAAGATTTTTTTTTTGTGTGTGTGTGTATACCAGTAATCAAACTCAGGACCTTGCACTTGCCAGGCAGGCGCTTGTGCCACTGAGCTATATCCCCGGCCCTGGATTTCAGATTTTCAAAATTATGGATACCCTACTGGTAAAGTCTATGGAAAATCTGAAGAATTCCCAAATCTGAAACATTCCTAGTCCCAACCATTTCAGATAAGGGATAATCTTTTTTTTGTTTTGTTTTTTTGAGGCAGGGTCTCGCTATGCAGTTCAGGCTGGCCTTGAGCTCACTTTGTAGCTCAGGCTGGTCTCAAACTCTAGACGATCCTCTTGCCTCAGCCTCCCAAGTGCTGGGATTACAGGCGTGCGCCACCACACCCGGCTCAGATAAGGGATATTCAACTGTACCCGATAAGGAACTTATATCTACAATATATAAAGAATGTTTATGACTCAACAATAAGCAATAAAAATAGAAACAATTTGAATAGAGATTTACCGAAAGAAGACATACAAATGGCTAATAAATCGTGGAAAGGTAATCAGCATAAGTAATCATTAGGGAAATGCAAATCAAAACCGTAATGAAGTACTGATACATGCTACAACATGAATGAAGATTGAGATCATTATGCTAAGTGAATGAAGCCAGACACAGAAGACCACATATTTTACAATCCCATTCACATGAAAAGTCAAAATATACAAATCTATAGAGACAGAAAGTAAATTAGTATTGCCAGTGGATGAGATTAGGGATTGGGAGTGACTACTAATTCAATTGGGATTTCTTTTGGGCATGATAAAAATATTCTACAACTGTGCTGATGCTTATACGACTCTGAATATACTAAAATCCACTGAACTCTACTTTTTTGTGTGTGGGTATGGTACTGAGGATCAAACACCAGTGACATTCTACATCCTCAGCCCTTTTCATATTTTTATGTTTTTTATTTTCAAATAGATTCTCACTAAGTTGCCCAGGCTGGCCCTGAACTTTCAATCTTCCTGTCTCAGCCTCAGGAGTAGCTAGGATTTCAGGCATGTGTCACTTACGTGGGTGAATTTCAGCATGTTACTTATACATACAATAATAAGGCTGTTTCAGAAAAGGAATAGAGGGTCCCAGATAATTTTTTTTTCTTTTTTGTGGTATTGGGGATTGAAATCAAAGCCTCACACATGCCAGTAAATTGCTCCACCATTGAGCTATAGCCCTAGCCCCTAAAGAACTTTTGTTAATGCTGGTTATATCTATTGATATTTGCCATATTAGAAATGAAAAGTGAGAAGGCTGGAGGTGTGGCTCAGTGGTAAAGCACCTCACAAATATTTTTAGTTTGATTCCCTAGTGCACAAAATAATTAATTAATTAAAAAAGAAATAAAAAACGAGAAAGCTGTTGGAAGTGGTGGTACATGCCTGTAATTCCAGGTTGAGGCAGGAGGATGGTACATTCAAACCCAGCTGGGGATTTCAGCAAGACCTTGTCTCAAAATAAAAAAGCTGGAGCCAGGTGCGGTGGTGTATGCCTGTAATCCCAGCACTTGGGAGGTTGAAATTGGAGGATCACTGTGAGTTTAAGGCCAGCCTGAGCACATGCGTTCAAGGCCAGCCTGAACTACATAGTGAGAGCCTATCTCAAAAAAACAAAGCATAAATAAATAATAAAAATAAGAACTAAAAATAAAAGGGCTGGAGATGCAGCTTGGCACTAAAGATACTAAGGTTTAATACTCAGTACCACATACACACACACACACACACACACATAAAAACAAGAGACGTAACAAATATTAATTTACTTTAAAAAAGAATCTGTTCCACATTAACATAAATAACATATATTTTATGAAAAATAAATCTATTGTTGAAATTCAAACATTCAGTGGCTCAATAAAAGACATCTGAAGCAGGGTCAGGTGGTGCAGGCCTGTAATTCCAGCACTCTGGGAGGCTGAGGTAGGAGGATAGTCAGCTCAAGCCTCACCTGGGCAACTATGGGTAACTTAGTGACTTAACAAGACCCCATCTTAAAAAAAAAAGAAAAGACAATTGGATTTTCTTTTTTTCTTTTTTTGGTACTGGGAATCGAACTCATGACCTCAGGCTTGCCAGGCAAGCTCTTATGCCACTGACCTATATCCCTGGTCCGTTTCTATGTTTTGACAACTGGATTTTCATACTTGTTTCTGAATTCAATCTGTTGGCATAACATAGGTCATGTACCATCTGCAAAACTGCACCATATACCCATTAAAGAATGTGAATGAAAAATGCAAATAGGGTGTTAGTATTACTATAAAAAAAAAATTCTGATCCTGCAGATCTCCAGAAAGGGTCTTAAGGTCACAGATTGAGTACTGTTGATCGAGTTCTACACAATTTATGATTTAAAAACATACTGTATTATGTGAAAAAAATGTAATCACAGAAACACAGCATATGATAACTTTAGATCAAATTTAAAAGCAAACTCTAATAGTATACTAAGAGATTTTCCCAAGGAGAAGAGAAATTTCACCTTACATGGGCCATGGCTTTTGGGATTATTTGACCTCTGTTTTTTCTGACTTCTTCACTTGGTCAAGTGCAGAATCTGAAAAAGCAAAATAGACAGAGAAGGGTACATTTCTGAGAAACTAAACTTCCCTCAAGCACTCTATTAAAGTCGCCAGCCCTACACGGACTCACCATAGAGGAACAAGAAAACCACAGTAATACTGGCATCTTATATGCATACCGGCACATCCAGACAGGTGTAAAACAACTGTGCTTGCACTGGTCCTGCTTTGCTTGCCCTCCTGTTGTCCTACCACATATTAAGAATATTAAGGATTAGACCTAACAAAACCCAGCCTTTTACTGAACACTAGGGAACCCCAAAGCAGCAAGATGATTTCCAGGCAGATGTGCCCCAGCATTGACATGGAACTCAAGCACATCACAGGGAGAGGTTACGGCTGAGACAGCCCCCCCAACTTTTTTGTGTGTGTGGTACTGGGGATTGAACCCACACTAGGCAATTTATTTACCACTGAGCTATATTGCTACCCTTACCAATCTATGTATCCATATCTATGTATCCATACATCTATCTACCCACCCACCCACTTACCTATCTATATATATTTTGAGACAGGGTCTAAGTGGCCCGAGGTGCACTAAAACTTCTGATCCTCCTGTCTCAGCCTCCTGAGTAGCTATGATTACAGGCATGTGCCACCACCTCTGGCTAATCTCTCAGGTTGTTGATGCTAATCTAAATTATATATGGGGCTTAAGTACTTCCACCTGCTCCAAATTGCAAACTCCAAGGAAGAATTTTTCTGTTTTTTTTTTTTTTTTAGTTTTTTGAGACAGGGTCTCACTATGTAGTTCAGGCTGGCCTTGAACTCACTATGTAGCTCAGGCTGACCTCAGATTTGAGACAATCCTCCTGCCTCAGCCTCCTGAGTGCTGCGATTATAGGTGTGTGCGATCATGCCTGGCAGCAAGGAGGATTATAATGCATTTTACCCCTTAAGAATAAGACAGCACCACCAGGCTAGGACCAGAGAACGTGTACGTAGGCCAAACGTAAATAAAATCTTTCTACCTTTAGGTAAAACCTCCTGGGTACCTCAGTGGCTCTATTTCCTCCTTCCAAGTCCCAGAAGGGGCTATACCACCTACTCTATAGGCTGTATTAAAGCCTTTAGCCCCATATGGAGCCACCACATGGGAGCAAGAAAACCATAGTAATACAGGCATCTTATGTGCATACCAGCACATCCAGAACACTGACCTCATTGGGAAATCAATTTTAAAAAGCTTCTTGACCCAGCACTCATTTCCTGTCTCAGCCCTCCTTTTTGCTTCCCTGCAGAACATTACTTCTTCACTGAGGGCTGGCTGTGCTGGGTCTGGAGTCCTGCGAATGGCCTATTTCTCAAGGTAATGAAAATCCAATGTTTGTGGTGCAAGCCTGTAATCCCAGCACTTAGGGAGGGTGAGGCAGGAGGATCACTGTAAATTTGGGTTACATAGTGAGTTCAAGGCCAGCCTGAACTACATGGTGAAAATCTGTCTCAAAAAAAAAGGAAAAGAAGAAAAGAAAATCTAGTGTTTTAAGAAAGGTACTAAAGCTGATTCTAATTAGGGGTACAAGACACTTTCCATAGGCAGGGCTGTTCAGAAGGAAATCTAATCACTAGTGTATTGTCAATGAAAATTTCCATAAGATGTATAATATGAGCTGGGTTAAAACAAGTCAGAGAACTTTAATAGACAGGAAAAAGAACAGTGAACACTGAACAGAGTAAGATGCAGTGGGCAGGGGCTGGGGATTTAGCTCAGTGGCACAGTGCCTGCCTGGCAAGCGCAAGGTTGTGAGTTTGATTCCTGGTACGGGGGAGGGGGCGGGGAGGGAAAGATGCAGTGGGCAAAACAATAGATGAAAAGTATATGTTCTCTGGGGGTGGTGCCACACACCTGTAAAGCTAGCACTCGGGAGGCTGAGGCAGGAGGATCACAAAGGGTTTAAGAGCAGGTTGGGCTACACAGTGAGTTCAAGACCAGCCTGAACATAATGAGACACTGTCTCAAAAAACAAAAACAAAAAAAATTAAAATAGTAAAATTTATGTTAGTGTAAACACTGTATGTTTTAACCACACAACAAAAAACCTGCCTGATCCCAAGGTCACCCTAAAAACCTGAGATCATTACTACTCAGGGCCAGAATGTGTAACTTCACATTGAACTGCAGAACTTCACAGTTTCTACAGGTGTCAGAGCACGGGGGGTCAGGCCCCTCACGCTGGTACACATGGCACTTTACAATGCCTCTGTCTCACAAACCTAAGTGCATATCCTTTCCTGAGACACCCAAGAATACAGCCATACAACCACAAACACTTCCATAGCATTACAGTCACAACTACACACGAAGAAGATATACACAGTCACACAATCCACGCACCACCGTGTCACACAGCCACTCCCCTACAGTCCCGGGCTCTCCACGCCAACACCTCAAAATGCCCTACAGTCAAAATCACACCCACTCAGGCTCCAACACAATCACAGTAGTGAAGACACTCAACGCATGTATACACAGCAGCACACATTGTCACACAGTCACAATCTCCCCCCTCTCCAAGGGATACACATACAGTGTCACGACACAGTCACAGGCACATGACAACTGCACACGTACCACACATGACAACTGCACACGTACCACACATGGCCACAGTATCACACAATTTATACAGACACTTGCACCGCTCACAAAGTCACAACGATACTCATATTTCCAGGAACAAGAAGGACAGGCACATACACACAACAGAGGCACCCACGGTATCACCTCCACAAGCACAACACACAGTATATACACGATTTACACAAAACCACCACACACCCTGGAGACAAGTGATTACACCTGCACACTCACAGGCATCCACACCAGGTCACAGAGCCACAATCAAAGACACTTTCAGAATCGCGCATCCTCAGCCGCTCCAGCAGCTCGGGACACGCCCCGTCTCCGCCCCGGATTCTCGGACCCCCTCACCTGCCTCCTCTGGTCGCTTCAGGGTCCTGGTGGTGCTATGATCTCGCCACGATGTCAAGAGAGCTGTAACGTCGGGCCGCTGTGAATTCTGGGAAACGTAGTCCAGAGCCACATTAGACACGGACAAGATGGCTGAGTCTGGGATGGGCCTGTTCTGAGATCGCGCCAGGTAGGTATCAAAGTAGTCCCCACTCCAAATATTCTAGCGGGCTTGATTGAGTTCACTTGATTCCAATAAGGACCACTCACCGTAAGACCCCCGAATCCACAGGAGGAGGCTATCAAGTGTGCGTGAGGGAGATAGAACTGTCTGCACAGCCTTAAGGGAAATGTAGTCCGCGGCCAGAAAAGCTGCGTCGCTGGTATCACTGTAGCGGGTAAGCAAGTCCCGGCCCAGGCCTGGCTGGTCGGGTGAACGCGCCGGGCCGCGTCGCGGAGACTTCTGGGAGTGCTCGGCTCGCCTTCATAGTGCGCAGGCGCAGCGCGCCGAGTGGACATTTTGGTCTTTGTCCGCGGGTCGGTACGGCCTCTCGGTACACGTGGCGCGAAAGTAGGAGGTGGGATCTGGGTGTCTTGGGTCTGTCGGGCCGGGGAGGTTGAAGGGAAGGATTCTTGATCTGTAGGGACGGGGCGCGCGCGTGGGGAGTGGGTTTAAGAGGGTTTGGCCTACGTATGGGGCGGAGGCGGGGGCCTCTGAGGAGGGTTGGAGCGTGAGTGACCCTGACTTTGACCGCAGAGTTTGACCCATTCTTTCGAACTGTTGAGCGAACGTGCAACAGTGTAAGATTGTGTGTGGTTGCGCCTACGAAGGAGATGCGGAGCCCCGTGCTGAGGTGCCGTATAACGTGTGAGCCGCATTTCCCGTGTCGAAAGTGCTGATAGTTATAACGGTGCCATCTTCGGGAGTTATTTTACTTGGAAGATCCGAAGGGGGAAAAAGCGAGTATTGAATAAGTTTAAAACGATTTTTAAATGTGAAAACTCCTTTTTTATTAGGTTAGAATGCAAATCACCCTGATTTAATTTTTTTTAAAAGAATATTTCAAAGGTATTTTTTGTTACGTGATGTCTGCTTCCTGTCTTAAATCCCCTAATCTTTGAGTTACTTAATAAAGAGCTGCTAGGGAAATTCCTGTAGTTAGTAGTTTTTCGTTTTGAGAGGCAGTATCACTACATGGAAAGCCCAGAATTAGAGAGCCGGAGGTTCTAGGTGAGGAATAATTAACCTCATTTCTTTTTTAAAAAGAAAACTTGGTTGCTGACAGCGTTTATCTTTAAGTCAGGAATAAAAGTCCAAACTCCTTAATGAGTGGAGGTGTTTCTAGTATGTGAATTTTGTAACATAATGGAGAGAACTATTTGCTTGGATGCTTTTTCTAAAGACGTCACCCGCAGTCCTGTTTTAAAAGCTTTGCATAATAATAGTTAAGTAATTGGGTACCAAATTAAGATCTACAAACCAATGGCCACAAATTTACAAACAGCAGCCGGTGAGGAGATAAAATTGAAGAAAAATACTATTTGCAATAGCATTAAAAAGATATAAATTTAAGAAATGTGCAAAACAATTCGAGAAAAAATTTTAAAATGCTAAGTGGTGTAAATGTAAAATGTGACTAGAAATACCATGGTACATAAAGAATTGTATTGTACCAAAGAATGAATTTATTAATTTAATGTGATGCTGAAAAAAGAATCAACCAGATTTTGGGGGCGGCGTTAGGTGAGCTGATTTTATTAACACGGTAAAACAAACAGCTATAGCCAGTGAACATAAGAAAAAGAAAGCAGTCGGTGCTTACTTTGTAGCAGTCGGAACAACAAAGCAGTTGTTCCCAGCTGTAACATTTTTGTGGTGATTGTCACCTATAATCACAGCACTTGGGAGATTGAGGCAGGGGGGTCACCACGAGTTCCATGTCAGCCTGAGATACACAGACCCTATCTCAAAAAATCAAAATAAGTAAATGAATATAAAGCCTCAGAAATTAAAATAGTGTCGATATTGGCATAGGCAAGGCATATGAAGGGAAATTTGGTAACGCAGTATCTGTGATAATTACAGCTGCTTTAACTCAACATTTTTAATGTTACAAATGTATCTACATTTACATGAAACAATAGAGGTACAAGATTGCTTTTAGTAGCAATCTTGGTTGTTGACAGCGTTTATCTATGAGTTTTTCTATTTGGCATAGAAATGTACTGGAAACAGAGTTTGTGGTACAGGCTTGTAATCCTAGCCACTTGGGAGGCAGAGATAGGAGCATGGCAAGTTGGAGGCTAGCTTGGCAATTTAGTGAGACCCTGTCTGAAAATAAAAAACAACCAAGGAACTGGGTATGGTGGCTCATGCACTTGGGAGGCTGAGGCAGGATGATTGCCATGTTTGAAGACCAGCCTGAACAACATGGTGAGTTCAGGGCCAGTCTAAGCTACATAGCAAGCCCGTGTCTCAAAAAAAAAAAAAACGAAAAAAAAGAAAAACCTAAAAAACAACCAACAGCAAAGGATTGGGAAGGGAGTGTAGCTCAGTGACTGCAAGCCCAAGGCCCTGGGTTTAATCCCCAGCACCAAGCAGAAATAAGAAAAAATGGTTCGAGTCATGCCTATCAGTAATAGATGGGATCAGTATGCTGTGGGTATAGCTATAGAGTATAGCAATACATAGCTGTTTAAAAGAATGAGAAGAAATAACTACATTTTTATTACTTGTGAAGTATAGAATCTATAGTGTATTTTGCTTACAGTAAGAAATGGGTTATAGGCAGATGTTATAGCACATACCTGTCTGGGAGACTGAGGTAAGAGGATAGCAAATTTGAGCCCTGTTTGGAAATTTATCAATTCAGCAGACCCTGTCTCACAGGATGGAGATGTAGCTCAGTAAGAAGGCCTTGGGTTCAATCCTGAGTACCACCAAAGAAAAAAGAAGGAAAAGAAAAAAGTAGGTGGGGCATGGTGGCACACGCCTGTAATCCCAGCACTCTAGGAGGCTGAGGCAGGAGGATTATTGGGAGTTTGAGGCCAGCCTGGGCTACAAAGTGAGCTCAAGGCCAGCCTGAACTGCACAGCGAGACCCTGTCTCAAAAAGACAAAAGAAAGAAAAAAATCCTTTATCGGAGAATTATGTGATTAAGTTAATATCAATTTGTTTTCAAGTTAAGGGACTGCTCCCCCCGCCATTGGGATTGAACCTAGAGTTTTTGCACTGAGCTATATCTCCAGCTGTTTTTAAATTTTAGACAGGATCTCACTTTGAGTCAAGGCTGGGCTCAAACTTACAGTCCGCCTGCCTTGGCCTTCCAGAGTGCTGGCATTACAGGCATGTACAGCACTTGACAAGGCACTATTTTTCTTTAAAAATGAATTTGATTACTTTTTTTTTTTTTTTTTTTTTTGGTTTTTCTCCGGTACCAGGAACCGAACTCACGACCTTGCGCTTGCCAGGCAGGTGCTTTTGCCGCTGAGCTAAATCCCCAGCCCCTTGATTACTTTTTAAAAAGCAAGTAATGTAAAATATATGTCACAGAAATATCTCTCATTCTACTTTTCTCTTGCAGTCATATTCTTTGTCCCATATAAATATAGTTTATTGGGGTTTTTTGTTTCTTTTTACCCTTTAGGTTGGCCACTGGTATATATTTATTGTTCATTCCTGTTCCCACCTTCATATAAAGGGTAGTATATCGTATTCACCTTTCTGTACATTTACTTTCTTCACTTAACATTTATGTCCTGAAGATGTCCCTTTTGAGCACTCTTTTCCTTTTTTTAACTACTGTGTATGTAAGATACCATTGTGTTGGATGTGCTATAGTCCCCTGTGGAATGTTTCTGTTGCTTCCAGTCTTTAGCTGTCACTGAAAATGCATGATATAGGGTCTGAGGAGTTCCTGCAAAGAGAAGGTGGAGACCTCAACTCAGCCTGTTAAGTAGGTTTTTGACTCTCATCTACAGAAAAGAATTTTAGGATGCCTCACTATTAAAGAAGCACACACTAAGAAGATGGAATGTTGGCCCTCAAGAGAGGCTCCTTTTGGTTTGGAGCTGGGAATATTTGTTTTTGCAAAATAGGGAATGTGTAAATTTATAGAAAGGGGGGCTCAATTTGCAGGTCAAAGACAGTGTCCATTTACAGGAGAAGAAGCATTGGCCCAATCTGTTGTATTCTTTTAAGATGAGGGACTAAAATGTTTTTCCTAAAAACATTCTTTGAACTCTTTGAATCTGATTCTGTATTGGTTTGCTGACCTTTAGCTTATCAACTGAGTTAATTCATGGATTTAATAGTATCTTTAAGGAGTGTGATATAATGGGCCTGGAAGGGAGGGGAGCCCAGGGAGGTAAAGATAATGGATAATGTTGAGTAACTTTGTGTCCGGAAGTTGCAGTATTTTTAGAAGACACTTAAAATTATGGGTTGCCTCATCTCCTTTCTGCCTACCTCATTACTGAATAATTTACCTGTGTTATTTTGTACTTAAGCAGGAGTATCTCTAAAGTAGATTTCTCCAAGTGGAATTGCCCAGTGGGTAAGTATATAACACTCCCACTAGCAATGTGCAGTAGCTCCTTTTCCCATAACTAGCCTCAGATTGTAGTGTTGAATGTTTGTGGGTTTTGGAGGGGGGTTTTTTGGCTTTTTTTTTTTTTTGTATAGGAATTGAACTCAGGACCTTGTGCTTGCCAGGCTGCTGAGCTATATGCCTGTTTTTTTTCCCTTTTTGAGACAAGGTCTTGTTCTCCAGTTCAGGCTGGCCTTGAACTTGCAGTGATCGTCCTGCCTCAGCCTTTGAGTGCTGGGGTTATAGGCTTACAGGGGTGCATCACACCACTCCCTGCTTTTTTTTTTTTTTTTTAACCAAAGGCACAAATAAGAATTGCATATGAGTGTAAGTTTAATTTACAATGCAAGGACCATATATGTTCATCTGAGAACTGTCTGCTCACATACATACTTTTCTCCATTTTTCCATGGAATGTCTTTTAGGAATTGTTATATACTTAAAAAGATAGCTCTGTGAAATGAGCCGCAGCCCCACACTCCAGATTTTCATTTGTGTTTTGGCGTTGTTTATAGTAATTGTTTTCTTTTCTAAGCCATGCAGAATCAGGAAGGTTTTTTTTTTTTTTTTATGTTACATTATCCTTTTTTTTATTAAAAAAAGAGTAAGCAGACTTTGTTGTTTTCCTTTTTTTCCCATTTTTTTACTTTTCCCTTCTTTTCTCCCCTCTCCCCTCCCTTTTTCCCATCCCCATTTGAACATTTTCTTCCTGTTTCACAATGCCTATTACCCATTTTGGTCCTTATTTACAAAACAATGAGATATTTATACATATGTTCAATGTATTTTACTTGAGTCTGATCTCAAGGTGTATCCTTTTACCTAGAAATGTCTTGAGCTTATCCTTACTTATGGCAGGGTAGTACTATGTTATATAAAAGAACCCAGTTGATGGGCATTTGGGCTGTTTCCAAGAGTTGGCTATTACAGACTGTGTCACTGTAAACATGGGTGTGCATATATCACTGTGATATGGTGCTTTGAATTCTTTTGGGAAGCTACCAAGAAGGGGAATAGCTGAGTCATAGTTTTTTGAGGTATCTTCACACTAATTTCCACAGTGGTTGCACCAGTCTTGACTCCCATCACCAGGTTCCTTTTTCCTCACAGCCCCTCCAACATTTGTTATTGGTTGATTTCTTGATAATAGCCATTCTTTCTGGGGTGAGATGGGATCTCACTGTTGTTTTAATTTGTATCTCTCAAATGAAGATTTTCTTTTTATATACTTAGATTTATCAGTCTTTCCATGTATGATCATAGTCAGAAAGCCTTTTCCACTCCAAATTTTACCTGTTTTCAAATTCTTACAAGGATGTCATTTACATAGGCTTTCGTTTCTGTTTCTCTTTCCCTCTCTCCTTCCCTCCTTTTTTCTTCTCTCTCTCTCTCCATTCCTCTTTCCCCTCTTATTCATTCATTCATTCATTCATTCACTCACTCAGCAGTGCTGTGGATGGAACACAGGGTCTTACCCACACTAGGCAAGTACTGTACTACTGTGTTAAATCTCCAGCTCAGGTTTTATATTTGAATGTACATTTTTGATCCATTTAGAGTAATTCCAGTGCTCCAGAGGCCATGAGTTCAAGACCTACCTGGACAACATAGTGCATTTAAAACCAGCCTGAACTACATAGCAAGACCCTGTCCAAGAATCAAAAAAACGTTATCCCTATCAGAATAGGCTTATCTTTTTCCATTTAGTTACCTAGTTCTTCACCATTTTTTGAAGGTTTCATCTACTATTTTAAGATGCCACATGCTAAATCCTCACATTTATATAGCCTGGTTTTGGACTTCATAGTCTTACCTTTTTATTATTCAACTTTTATAATTATGTTTTAATATCTGAGATAGCTGATCTTATTGCTTATTCTCAGAGTTTTCTTGGCTATTCTTGCTTATTTTTTGTACTGGGATTGAACCCAGAGCTTTCACACTGAAGTATCCCCAGATATATTTTTTAAAACAACAATTAATTGTTGGGCGTAGTGGTGCACACCTGTAATCCCAGCACTTGGGAGGCTGAGGCAGGAGGATCATGACTAGCCTGGGCTATAAATTGAGCTCAAAGTGAGCCTGAACTGCATAGCCAGATCCTGTCTCAAAAAGACCAAAAAAAGAAAGAAAACAAGTCCCTAAGTTACTTGGCCAGGCTGGGCTCCAACTTGCTATCTTCCTACTTTAGGAAGCAGCCTGGGATTACAGGTGTGTACTACTACGCCGGGCTTTATTTTTCTTTGTAAACTTTAGAAACGGCTTACCTGGTTCTAGAAAACAAAAACTTCCTATTGAGATTATATAATTTAGGGGAAAGGGACATCTTTATGATGTTAAACATTCCTATCCATGTACATAATACATATTTTCTTTTAGTTTTTTATTTGGAGACAGTGTCTCACTGTTGCCAAGGTTGGCCTTGAATTCAAAATCCTCCTGCCTCAGCCTCCCCAATGGCTGGAATAACATTTTATTTAAATTTTCTTCTGATTCCTTTGGACTATTATCAAATTTTCTTCATATAGGTTTTAAATATTTCTTACAAAGCTATTAACTTTATTCCCAGTTAGTTTTGAATTTTTCTAACTATATAAATGATAATCAAGTAGGGGTCCCCCTTCTATTTTGACTAATAGAGTTGCTTCCGTTGTTTGGATAGTTCATAAAATGCTGGGCTTTTGATCAGATACATAATTACGTTTTTTTTTTTTTGTACCAGGAATTGAACTCAAGACCTTGCACTTGCTAGGCAGGTGCTTGTGCCGCTGAGCTATATCCCCGACCCCCATAATTATGATTATCCATATATATGTAGATTGTGCTGGCTGGGTCTCGAAATATTAATAGAAACAAAAGGCTTCAAGGTTAAGACTATGTCTATGCCCCAGATGCACAACCAGGAGAGATAATAATGAAAGCCAGGCGTGGTTATGCATACCTGTAATCTCAGCCCTCTGGAGTCTGAGGCCAGAGGACTGCCACAAGTTCAAAGCCAGCCTGAACTTAACCCAGGGAGACCCTGTCTCAGTTCCTCTCCCCCAAATCAGCTGGGATAAACATAAGGTACTGGGTAAGATTCATTCTTACTTTCCTGCTTTCTATCCATTTCTTCTTTTAGGCAGCCGAATGACTTCTGTTTCTCTTTTGTGTTTTTTTCATTTATTTCTTAAAAATGTTTTAAATTGATTTTATTATGCTGTTTTCATCTGCTTTATGATAGTATTTTCAAATAAACTTGTTGGGACGTTATACTGCCCATTTTCCCTGTTTTTTGTGCAGACAAATGATTTGTGTTACATTTGTATGACAGTGGAGCTCCAGTGGAGCAATCAGTTAGTGCACAGTACTTACACATTTGTATGAGAATGACTGTCTAGATAACCACGAGGAAAAGAGGAACGGTAGTACCCTGTGTTCCATACCTCACGTGCCGCCTCTAGGGTTCCAGCAAAGGACTCCCCTTTCTGTGACTTGCTGATCATAATTCTTCACCATACTTGGCAATCAGGACAAGTTCACTTTTAGAAGTTGCTAAATTTGGTATCTCTGGATCCCATTCCCAAGTACTTTTAAGCCACGCTCTCTGCTTTCCCTGCAGTCCTTTTCTATTTAATTTAATTTAATTGGATTTTTTGGTACTGGGACTCGAACTCATGATTGCCAGGCAGGCATTGTGCTTGCCAGGAAGGCCTTGTGCCATTGAGCTATATCCTGGCCCTCCTTTTCTCTTTAATCTAGTTCTGTGATCTGCTTTTTATCAATTCCCTCTTCACAGATAAGCTCTCAACTGTGTAGTTTGGGCTGGTTTTGAACTCATGTAGCCCAAGCTGGCCTTGAATTTATGACAGTCCTCCTGCCTCAGCCTTCCAAGTGCTGACATAGATATGCAGCACTGCACCCAGCCCCACTTGCTGTTTTGTAAGAAAATATTAGCTGCAGACTTCAGAATTCTTCAAGTCCTTAGAACCCTCCTCTGCATTCCTATTTCTTCCTAAGGCTTCTGTGCAACTTCCTGTTTAGGTCTTGTACATGAGTCTGATTAGATAGTTTTGAGTTTTTTCTTGTCTTTAGTTTTGTTGTTCGTTATTAGATTCAGTTGCAGTCTTCACAGAGGGAGGGGCCCCTCATCCTGAGAATGGTATTTGGTAATTATTTCTGAGATCTTTTACCTCAAGGACTTCTTGCTATTCCTACCTCACGTTTTTGGTTCCTCACCACTTCTGTTTTACCTGTGTTGAGCCATACTTACATTTAGAATTAATTTTTTTCCTCCCGGTGGTTTCACTAGATATACTGTAGATTGTCCAGACCCCAAATCACATTATTTTTTATATAATTTATGTGGTCTTTAGGAGAAGCATTTTGACCATTTGAAACTATAAACAGTTGGCTTCTCTGGGGCCTCTTCTGGTTTTTTTGCTGTTGGCATTTCTGGGCTCTGTCCGTGACTACCTCTTCACGTGCTGTGTACTCTGTTAGCAGTCACAGTTATCCTGTCTCGTGAGCCACAGTGATAGTTCAGATAACTGTCAGGTTCCCATTTCTACTCTTGGCCTATTGTGGTCTCTTGATGTAAGTCATCCAGCTGCCTGCATGTTTCTCAGAAACCTAGTAACTCTGAATGCCCTGAATATTAGTTGTCTCCAGCTAAGTTACCCTCTTAGTTTCCCTCCATGTATATTACTGTTTTAGTCAGGCTGTGAGCCTTCTGTCTCTCCCATACCCAGATACCCAGTTATGAACTAATGACAGCTTTTTCAGAATAAATAATAAATGGTGTGTTTGTGTGTATGTGTGTGTATAAGTTGTAATGTAAGTTTTTTTGTGATTTTGCTTTTTTGTATGACTAATTGTTATAAAATACTTGGCATGGAACAACAGAATTTCTGTGTACCATTTATTCAAAACCACCACTCATTTTGTATTTTGTGTTTTTGCTTTGTTTTTTCATTTCTTTATTTTCTCCAGATACATGAATGTCAAATTTTTTTTCTAAACATTTGAGGCTTAAGTTACAGATAACATCCTCTTTATAAGTACTTACACATGAATTTTTAAGAACAAAAGCATTCTGTTTCATGTACACAGCACAGCAATCAAAATCAGAAAATTTGACGTGGATATGTTAAGTCTGCATCCATGTTCAGATTTTATTAGTTGTCCAGTAATGTCTTTAAATTGATTTTTAAAAATATTTTTGAACAAATAGGTGACTATATAGGGAGTTTTAAATTCTGAATACTGTCACAAAAACTAACTACACACTGTGCCCACGTGGCTTAGTTCTAAGAGAGGCATTTGTTGTTATAGTCAAAGAGTATTTGTGCAGGAATAAGGGCCATAGTAAAAAACCCAAAACCTGGGTAGGAGCATGGCGCCAGAGGAAAAGTTGCAACCAGTCATGTGAAGAATGAGCAGATTTCCTATTTAAGTAAAATTCTGAGGGCTAATTTTCTCTGTTTCCCTACTTCTGGATGTATGGAGACTTTAAATAGCTCAGTGAGTATGACTTTAAAATTTGGATTCAGCCAAGTGTGGTGGTGCACACCTGTAATCGCAGCACTTGGGAGGCTGAGGTGAGAAGATTGGCATGAGTTCGAGGCCAGCTTGGGCTACACTGTGAGTTTAAGGCAAGCCTGAACTACACAGAGACCCTTTGCCTCAACAACAGTAAAATTTAGGATTGAAAAAAGTCCTAGGTTCCCAGGCTTAGGTGGCACACACCTGTAATCCTAGCACATGGGAGGCTGAGGCAAGAGGATTACCTTGAGTTTTAGGCCAGCTTGAGCTATGTAGTAAGCCCCTATCTCCCCCAAAAAAGTTGTAGATCTTTTGCCTATACACTTGCGTGCTTTGATCACAAGGTAAAGAAATCATCATCTTTTTCTCTTTCACAGGGCCACTTCCTTGTGCATCTCTGGAAAGTACACCTTTCTCATCCTTCAGCCCAGGGGCCCCAGAGGGCTCATCCTGAATTCTAGAATGGTACTTTGGTCACAGCAATAACAGTTTAGTGCTGTGTCATTTTCCCCAGTAGCAGGTTTTAAAGAGACCAAAATGGATAAAGTCTTCCATTGAAGAGGACAAACTCGATGGTGGAGAAAGAAATGGAAAGAGTCTGTCTAGGTGAGTGAGTGACAACTAAGTTGGTATAGATGTTTAGTTAACGTTGATAACTCTAAAGTACTTTTGAGGACACTTCCTTATAGGCCCTAGTCTTGGGTTATCACTTGGTATTTCATAGATGTCCCAGTGACAGTTGCAAACATGATTTTTTTTTGTTTCAGTACGCTTTTGTTTTTCCAGTACTGGAGATTAAACCTAGGGAGGGCTAAGCTAAATCCCCAGCTCTTTGCCCTTTAATTTTTTGTGTTTTAGAAGTGTTTTGGGCTTTTTCTTTTGGTGGGGGGGACAAGGTCTCCCTATGTAGTTCAGGATGATCTCAAACTAAGTGACCCTTCTGTCTCAGCCTCCTGGAAGCTAGGATTACAGGCGTATACTCCAACACTCAGCTCTACCTTTTGAGACAGGATTTCACTAAATTGCCCATGCTTTAGTTAGTTGCAGACTTCCATCCTCTTGAATTAACCTCGCAAGTAGCTGGGCTTGTAGGCTTGAAGCACTACACCCAGGCAGTATTGTACTTCTTTCATCTGATTCTAAAGGGCTGTGTATCTCTCTTATCTCTGTCTTAATGTTAATACTTCATACTTTATTTTTACTATTATGATTGTTTTCTTTCAGTCTCATATCTGGTTTCATATCTTGTTATGTGTATAGTCTTCATGTGTTATCTTTTATAGGTCTTAACTTTTTCATATCATCTGATACTTAGTTTCCTCTTTACTACTTGGTACCTTGTATCATTCTTTTCAGTGGTTAAGGGCCTCAGAATAATATTTTGCTTTTGCATTCTTACATCCCTCCCCTTTCATAGATCAACAGATCTACCACTCTTCATTTCCCTCTTTCACTGGTTTCTTTATGCTACTTTTTGTGAATGTACATTAGGAAAAAAGGAAGAAAAAACAAAAAGTATGAGCTCTCCAGTAAGGACAGGTTTGCTTAGAATAAGTCTGAGAGGGACTGTCCTGCAACTTAGACCAGACCTATAAGATCTCAGACCAGGCTATAAGGTCTTTTATGGGGTCATCAGCATAAAGCAGGGCTATGAAAGGAGAAGATCAGAATGGGACTTTTGAGGGGGAAGAATTTAGTGGAAAGGAGTTGTGGCTACTTGCCAGGGACAAGGCTTGAGAAAGTAGAGTCAAGAGCAGGGCTGAATAATGATGGGAATTATGGGGTTAAGCCATGGTCACTGGGCCTTATATAACCCATGGTTATATCTTTAGCAGATGTAAAAGGATAGCATGACAGAAAGAGGCTTAACGCAGTCTGTTCAGCCTATGATGGTGACAGTTGGACTCCTTCAGTACATATGAGTGTTTTTTAATGTCTTTTTCTTTTTGGTAATGAATTCACACTTTTTAAAATTTTACTTAATTATTTTTTTGGTACCAGGAATTGAACTCAGGGCCTTGTGCTAGCCAGATAGGCACTGTGCTGCTGAGCTACATCCCCGGCCCCTCATAAATATTTTTGAACATTGAGATACAGAGCAAGAAGACTCCTTTTAGCTCTGACCCTTGTCCTATAGTTTCTTTCCAGAGATAGTCACTTTGAAGAGTTTCTCACATACTGATCTTTAGGTACTAGTCTATGAGTAAACCAAAATATATTATATATATTATGTATCTTTGCCACAAATATGCTATATCTCTATAAACCACTGTCCTTGTACCTTTTCATATAAATAGTGGCATGGTACATATCCTATTGTGTATGTAATTTTTTCTTTAGAAGTCTGTCACGTTATTAAACTTGTCTTTTTTTTTTTTTAACTTGTCTCATTAATGGGCATTTAGGTTGTTTCTAGGCTTGTGCAATTGAAGACATAAGTGTGAATACTTGTTCATATTGATTTGCAGAGATACACAGACAAGACTACACAGTGATTTACTTTTAGTGAAAGTGTGATTGAAACAGGCTTATCACTCTTAAAAGTAACCAGTTTACGTTTTTACCACTAGGTAGTTACTGAATGTTAGATATTGGTTTCCATTTCATGCACTAAGGGAATGTCAATGATCAAGATACTCAAAATTTTTTTTTCCTATAAGCTGTATTGTAGTTGGAGAAGAATGTGAATGATAAGTAAAAAACGTATTCCATCAAATAATGACAAAGTGCTTTGGAAAAAAACCAAAAAGAACTGTACTGAGGGCCATTTGGATATTTAATTAGTTTTTTTATGGGAGTCAATACTGGCGATTGAACCCAGAGCTTTGATCCTGCTGTACCACTGAGCTATATCCTCCCAGGTTGTGATTTAAAGTAAGTTGGTGGAGCTGGGCGTGGTGGCACACCCCTGTAATCCCAACACTTAGGAGGCTGAGGCAGGAAGATTGTTGTAAGTTCAAGACCGACCTGGGGGGGCTGGGGATTTAGCTTAGCGGCAAAGCACCTGCCTGGCAAGTGCAAGGTCGTGAGTTCGGTTCCCGGTACCGGAAAAAAACCAAAAAAAAAAAAAAAAAAAAGAACAAGACCGACGTGGGCTACAAAGTGAGCTCAAGGCCAGTCTGAACTGCATAGCGAGACCCTGTCTCAAAAAAAGAAAAAAAAGTTAGTAAAGGAAAAGTCTCATTGAGAAAGTGGTACTTCAAAGGTCTGAAGAGTCTGAGGGTGGAAAGTGCAGTATTTGGGGAAAACTACCCAGAAGGAATAAAAATACTAAAAATCCTAATGTAAACTGGGCATGGTGGCATATACCTGTACTGAGTCAGGAGGATCGCCAACCTCCTGACTCATAAGTTTGAAGCCAACCTAAGCTATATAGTGAGTTTGAGGCCAGCCTAAACTATACCGCAAGCACCTGTCTCAAAAAACAAAACAAACAAAATTACACCTACTTCCTTCTTTTTTTTTTTTTTTTGGTAATGGGAGTTGAATGCAGGGCCTTCAAGCTTACCAGGCAGTCGCTATACCACTGAGCTACGTCCCTGGCCCTATTTCCTACTCTTATCAACAGTTTTTTTCTTCATTTACAGTCAAAAAATGGGCATAGTTATCCTCTACCATCTTAGAAGAAATGATCTATTTGTTATGTTACAATCACCTTTCCTGGAATGCTCCTCACGTGTTTGATTGGTATTTTGCTGACCTGTAATGTTGCATTATCTAAATTGTTTCCTCATCTTTTGTTTTGTCTTTCTTTACCTGAATCCTTCTTACCAGAGGTGGCTCCTAAAACTCTGGGTTCTGCCTTTCTTCCTGGAAACGACTCATCCATTCTAAAGATAGAATAAATTTTTTGTAATGTCCGTTCTTTTGGTATCGCCAGCCTTTCTGTTTTGCTTGGAATAATTTTACCAGTTAATAGCACAAACAGCTCTCTGACTGATTGTATTCTCCTGTGTCAGAGAGAAATCATAATGGTAGTTCTCTCTTACCCCGTTTCATTTGGTGTGGTTTCAGTTATCCATAGTTAACCACATTGTGAATATAAAATATTAATAAAAACTTTCAGAAATAAGCAATTCAAAAGGTAATGAGTAGCATGATGAAATCAAATCTCATTCCGTACTGCAGTGTGAATCATCTTTCTCCATTGTATCTACACCATCTGCCTTTTGTTAGCTAAGAGAGATAAAGAGTCCATTTTCACAAAACTTTTCTGGATGTGGTGGTGCATGCCTGTAATCCCAGCCTGAACGACATAGTGAGACTGTCTCAAAACACCTCCCTATTTTCAAGGCATTTATTATTGTTTGTTACAGTTGCTTTATTTTGTTAACCTCTTATGCATAATTCTTTTTTTTTTGGTTTTTCTCCGGTACCGGGAACCAAACTCATGACCTTGCGCTTGCTAGGCAAGCACTTTGCCGCTGAGCTAAATCCCCAGCCCCTCTTATGCATAATTCATAATTAAACTATCATAGGTATGTATATATAGGAAAAAAACATTGTGTGGGCTTTGAAACTTATCTCCTGAGGTTAAGGGAGACTACTACAATATCTTACCAATTTAGAAATTTTGTGAGGTGTGATGGTACATGCCTATAATCCCACCAGTTGGGAGGCTAAGGCAGGAGGATTACCGTGAGTGTGAGGCCAGTCTGAACTACATACAAGACCCTGTCTCAAAAAACCAAGCAAACAAAACACCCAAATTAGAAGTTTCATCCCTTTGTTCCCAGGTTCAGAGGTCACATAAACCCATTTTATAATTCATCTGAGCTGTCTTTTCTCATGGTCCTATGATACTGTCAGTCAAACCATTAAAAAAGATTTTACTCTACTCAAAAGACTTGAACTATATGGCTATAAAAACAAACATATTTCTTTCCCTTATAAAATTCTTTTGATTTTTGCCCCTCTCCCCCTTTTTTTTCTCTTGTTGGGGATAGTGTTTGTTAATAACATTTGAATCCAAGGCTTTTTTTTTTCATGTGGAGCTACATCTCAAGCCCTTTTAGTTTTAGGGCAGGGACTTGCCAAGTTGCCTAAACTAGGTTCAAACTCAGGATCCAGGCAGGATGTGGTGGCACTCACTTATAATCCCAGCACTCAAGAGGCTGAGGCAGAAGGATCACCTTGAGTTCAAGACCTGCCACAACTGCATAGATTTTGTCCAAAAAAAACAGAAACAAAAACAAAAAAGCACAACAAACCTTAGGATCCATCGGGCTCAGTCTCCCAGAGTGCTAGGGATTATAGATGTGCACCACCACACTCAGCCTAATACTTGCCTTTGATTATAAAGTGCTCTAATCCAGGTCTTGCTGATCATTTAAATTTGAATTCTACTTTTGTTTGTTTGAGACAGGGTCTCCACTGGTGGTTCAAACTGTCCTTAAACTTATTATGTAGCTCAGGCTGGCCTCGAATTTGTAGTGATCCTCCTGCCTCAGCCTCCCAAGTGCTGGGATTATAGGTGTATGCCACCATACCTGGTTTTTGTTGTTGCTGTTGTTTTGAGACAGTGTCTTGCTATGTAGTACAGGCTGGCCTTGATCTCATGGCAATTTTCCTTCCTTAGCCTCTGGAGTGCTAGGATTACAGGTGTG